TTGCTGCCATGTTAGCACTGCGTACCTGTCATCGTCTCCACCTCGTCGTCGTCGCTCATCCCTATAGCTGCCTTGTCGTCGATCCTGAAGCCGACACACAGGTAAGCACCCGATAGTTTCCCCCCCCCCCCCCTTAACCTATCTACTTTTGTCTATTTTCTTCTTCCTACAGGAGAGAGACCGGAAGGAGCAAATGAGGGAGAGCGAGAAATGAAGTGGGGAGACGGGAGAGAGGGAAGGCGGAGTGCCCAACAGAGGGTTGGACATTACACGTGGGAGGGATAAGCAACGTAGTGAACATAGCGGTAGGAGTAGATGTGCGCTGAAGAAGGGAGGGTTACAGGGCGAGGGTAAACCAACATGTATACTAGTTAGCAGAAGGAAGGGACAGGTGACGTTCGGAAGTAGGGAGGGAAGTAGTAGGGCCCGGACAATACGGGTGTACACTAAGCAACAAGGGAGAATCCTAAACCCTGGTGAGGGGAGCCGCGCTGACCAATAGAAACAATCAGGAGGGATCAGACTTAGGCAGTGGCAGTAGCAATAGGTTGTTACAACTGGACAAACGGCGGGAGCAATATGTTGGGAACTGGGAGAAATAGGGAAGTGCCCGTACTACAGGAAATCAAACGTAGGTAGGTACTAGATGGGAGACACGGTGGCCAACAGGGTCGGAACCGAGAAAGAAAAGGAAGGGTGGACCGCCAGACTGGGGAGTACACAGTGCAGAATGCTGGCCCGTGAGAGCGGGAGACTAAGGCAAGAAGCCTAAGTCGCATCGCAAGCCCCTACCGCCGACCGGTACACGTGATTTTCGAAAACTTCGTGCAGGCAAGGCGCACACGTGAGGAGGCGGGAAGACGGGGCGTGCGGACGTGCACGCCAGGTCAGTTACAAGCGGGCCAGGTAAGCGCCCACCGGGTCAGTTGCAGACATGGAGTCTGCACAGGCTATATCTTAGGAGGGCAAGGCCTGAAAGGCCCTCTTTGCTCAAGGTGGAAAGCTACGGTGGATGTGGGAGAGTGGGAAGCCCCTTGATAAGTCCTGGTGGATGCGGGAGGGCCAGGCGAAACGTGTCGGGGAACGTGCGCATTGAGCAGTTGTCCATGTAGGTGCTTCAATGGTCTTCATTGAGACATCGACGCATAGCGATCGGCCTCGCTGTATTCATTTCTTGGATGCGCAACAACCATACGAGTGGTCGTACTCGTTTTGGTGGTTACACCGACATTGGACTACGTATGAAAGTAGAACGAGGCAGGAGATAGGGAGCTAGGAGCGAAGAGTGTTAGTAAGGAAAGGAAGAAGGAGGAAACGACGAAAAGGTGCGAAGGAGATAGTGAGAGGGCGTGAGGGATGAAGTCGGTGAGGAGGACGAGGTAGCATATGTGTAGAATGTGCAAGGAGGTAGATGAAGGGGACGTATCACTAGTGAGGGGAGGTATACACACGTGTATACTAATGTCACTGCTCATCTGAGCGTGAGTCTGACAGAGAGCTTTACAACAGAAGGGAGGCCGTATTTGGTGGAGGGGGGTGGGAGCTTGGCAGGATGATCATTACTAGTGTGCGAAGGCTAGATCAAGTTAGGTGGTCAGATTAGGGAGGGAGGTGAGTGAGTAGAGATATGAAGGAAGCATTGGCGGGAACAAGAACAGGTTGACAAGTGCCCGCGCCGGAGGTGAAGAAGCGAAGTTCGAAAGACGTTTTAAGTCGTCCTCATGATATCAGCGGGAAGGTAAGGGAGAGAGTGAGGGGTGGTGTGAGGAACGCAGTGGTGCAAGTGAGAGTTGGTCTACGAACGAACGAGGAAGTTACGTCAAGGTACGTCGGAGGCGGGTGGGGTATAAGGTGCAGTACGTGGAATGTGAGAGCGGCGCTGTGACAAGGAGAGAGGCGCGACCCCAAAAGCAGAGACGCGAAGAAAGCATTGGCGGGAACAAGAACAGGTTGACAAATGCCCGCCCCGGAGGTGAAGAAGCGAAGTTCGAAAGACGTTTGAAGCCGTGCTCATGATATCAGCAGGAAGGTGAGGGAGAGTGTGAGGGGCGGTGCGAGGAATGTAGTGGTGCAAGTAAGAGTTGGTCTACGAGCGAACGAGGAAGTTACGTCAAGGTACGTGGGAGGCGGGTGGTGTATAAGGTGCAGTACGTGGAACGTGAGAGCGGAGCTGTGACAAGGAGAGAGGCGCAACCCCGGAAAAGGAGCAGTGCATGATAGAGAGGCAAGTAGCCCTGCGAGCTGAAGGAACCTCCCGTATCTGGGAGAGGTTAGTAAAAAGTTCGAAAGGTACGATGGCCCTGGCCGAGTGAGTTGTTAGACCTTGCTCCGTGGGGAGTGTGACCTGAAGCACGCTGTAGGAGATTAGATTCGCGAAGAGTAAGACTCGCAACTCGTGTTTCCGTGCCAACCCCGGAAGTGAAGAGAACATATGGTGTTGAGCCACACGTAAAGTTATTAGTCCAGGTTGCTGAAGACCGCGGGTTAAGTGTCGTTCGTGTTTTCTGAGCGTGATTAGATGCTAAGCCCTCCCGCTCAAGAGGAAGAGTAACCTGCACCTGACGCTGTAACGAAGGATCCGAAACTGCGAAACATTGAAGTGGTAAGGTAAGGTACTAAGAGAAGGGAAGGCTTGGCTTTTATGTTTCTGCGGTCTTTAGGAGGAGGTAGACCACGTCGAAAGCAGCGGGTGTGGACTGCAATACAACTGGTCACTGGAAGGTGAAGATAGGTGATGTGGTGTGCATTAGGAGGATAGGCTCCAGTCTATTTTCTGTTTGTGGTTCTGCTCCGTTTGTGGGAGTGTATAATTAACGCGAGGACAGTTAAGCCTACAATTGGAATTACCACCAAGCAAGAGAGGCGCTGTTAACAGAAGCCAGGCGGTGAGAGAGTGACAACAGTAGAAATAGCTACCAGCGGAGAGAACTGACAGCTGAAGCCAGGTGGTAAGGGAGTGACAGGAGGAGGGAAAGAGACCGACGACTAGTACGTGGTCCACCGAACGTTGGGAACAACAACTGTGGTTCTCGGCCAGCTTCCATGTATCCCCCACAGGCTACACCCAGTCCATACCCGGCTGGTTATGCGGGGTCGGCGCACACACCTGGCCCTTCTTCTCCTCCACCCCCTCCCCCACCAGCTGGACCAGGTGGCCCATGCTATAACTGCGGAGAGTATGGGCATTTCGCACGAGACTGCCTACATAAGCAAAATGGGAGAAGCTGGCAAAACCAAGGGCGTGGGGGCTATGGAGTGGGAGGGAGTGGACAAGGTGCCTACGGCTAGCCAAGGAGGAATGAAGAAGAAGAAAGGTTAAACAGGCTGCTCTCGTTTGTCGAGAGCCAGCAGATAGAGGCAGCAGAGAAGAAGACGGCCGAACAAGAGAAGAAACGGCAGGAAGAAGAGAGACAAAAGATGGAGGAAGCAAAACAGAGGGAGGAAACAGAAAGACAGAGGGCGCAAGCCATTATGGAGGCGACGGCAGCGTAAGCTTTTGCTAAACAGATGGCGGAGTTGGATGAAAAAATCAAAGGGCATGTACATTCGACACTCACAGCGTCTGAAGAGAAGAATGCAAGGCTGCATGATAACTTGTTGAGGTTCCTGGAACGTAACGAGAGGGAGGTACCGAGAAGGCCCATAACTGAATTGTACCCGAATCCGAAGAGAAGGCTTGAAATGGACGGGGCTGAACAGGAGGCAGTGGACGTGGAAAGAAGTGCAGCTACGCCCAGTACCAGGAGGCGAACACTGGGCACGAGGAAAGGAAAGGAACCAGCAAACACAGAGGCGAGGAAGAAAGGTGCACTGGCCTCGTGCTCCAAGCAAGGGGTGATCGACTTTGTCCTCGAGTTGCGAGAGAGTATGCAAGAAAAACAAGCATCGGAACTTAAGCAAATGTGTAAGATGAGGAACATCAGGTGGATATTGAAGGGGCAGGCGATCAAAGACTTGGTAGCAGAGGAAACAAAGGTAGCATATGATGGTTGGCTGACTGTAGCAGAGAGTGACGAAGTCAAGGAAGACAGAGGGTCGGGGGTTGATACAGCCCCCCACGCAGATTGACGGTGTGCCCCCCCGGCACGGTACCTCTGGAGCAAACTGTTAATGTATATGGGGCTCCGAGATATTGTCTGGGGGACGTACGGGTTAACGAACCTCAGGATAAATATAGAGCAGATAATCATTGCGGTGTTCCTTATGTTGGTGTTGAGTGGAGTAGCCCCGTGGGCTAAGAAGATGCTCACGGTAACCCCTGCTGGCCACAAATTTTTTGACTTGACAGGACCAGTGGTGTATTGCCACACGTGGTTAACGGGGACCCCCAGCTTTCAGCTCCTGAGTAACAGGTCCAAAACTGAAATTAGGGTTTGAGGGTGAAATTTCATGTTTTTTTTTTTGCCTGTTTTTGTCTTAGTTCTGAAAATTCGCTGAATCCAAAACGTCATTCAAGTGCACTTTTGCCTAACTGTTTCACCCTGTTTTTATTTTTTTTTTCGGTTTTTTTTTAATGGTTTGTTAATATGGTGTGCACTCTATGGAATGATGCAATTTTTGGTTAAAAAGGCCTTCTGGTTTTCTTATAAACAGCATTAAAAAAACGCTGAAATTTTGGGTCTCCGTTAACCGCCTCTCGTGGAAGCACATCAGATGCACTGAGGCTGGTAACTATGGACATGCCCCCAAGCTGTACTCCTTCCTGAAACTCTTCGGGTGGAAGAAGTATCTGGTCCTCCCGATAGCGACGGGAGCTGGAGAAGGTTTACTAGCGCTAGAAAGGACCCTTATATATCGTTTTTCCCCAGCACTGAATACGGTGGGCCGATGTGCAGGGACAAAACGGAAGGCTAGACCTGGAAGGAAGGAGAGGCAAAGAGTGAAATCACCCATGACGATGCGCAGGAAGGGGCTCTTGAGCTTCACGCAAGCAAGGCAGGGAAATAAGTACTTTAGTTTAACAGAGCTCTTGGAAGACACGTATGCAGCAGGAGTGAAGGCGGTGAAGTTTGTATCATCTGGAGGAGAGGTGTGGGGAGAAAAGTGGTCTGTTATCCGAAGGAAGTTCGGGACGTCAACCGTCACGGGGGAAGAGACGAAGCTACCTCTAGGGAAGGCCAAACAACAACTCGAGTGAGGAGGCATGTTCAGGGTGTCGCCGGTAGTGAAAACCGAGAATGCAAGACACGGAGGGAAAGGGTATCTGAGGCAGCTACTGGAGATGCCACGAAAGCAAGCGGAGCTTAAGCACTTCGATCTTACGAAGCTGGTCTTCTTGTACAAGTGCGCTAGAGAGTTCAAGACCAAGATTACAAGAAGGACGTTGAAAGAGAAGATAACAGCAAAGATCAGAAACAAGACGGGGGTGAATGTCAGATTGAAGGTCAATGTGGGGGTCAAGTATAGCCACCGGCTAAAGAAGAGGGAGATCCACGACACGGTTGTGTTATGTGTGGAGAAGAGTAGAATTCATCCGGTACTCAAGAAACTGGTGCGGAACCGTGTGAGAGTGGTGCGGAAGAAGAACAACACGGTTGAACAGGTCTTGACCAACCACAGGAAGGTGGCTAGGGGAACGATGGAGCCGTGTACGTGCAGCGGTGACCGGCTGCCGAGGGTGGATGGACACGTGATGGCTCGTATTGCGCAGTGCTCAGAGGTTCCACCATTCCTACACAATGGAAAGAATGTACTGCAAAGTGATCTGGGCACGAGTTCAGCAGAAGTACAGCAAGGGGTTGTGAAATCCCTAGAAGCAGTCATGAGGAGAGATCTATATCAGGTAGAGGCACTGAGCACTTTTCAGGAGATCGTCTCGGACCGTACTAAAGCAAGGCCAGCATGCTCGGAGGAACAAGCACGGGAGATAGCGGCGAAGGTGAGCCACCTGGTAGTGGTCCCGGTGGACAGGAATCCAGGGGATCTAGTGGTCATGTGCCCATCGACGTACCACCATGGTCTCCGGATGATGTTTAATCATAACGTCGCGTACCAGCAAGTACCGGAGACGTCCGAGAAACAAGTGTTGGGGCAGATGAGGAGAGAGTTCAAAGATCGAGCTCTCTGCAAGTTAGGAGCTTGGAATCCAGCAGCCAAGCTAGGGCAAGCGTACGTTATGCCAAAGCATAAGGACCTGACAAGGTGGAGACCTATAGCACCCGCAAATGCAGACGGTTCAAGGACCGCGGGGAGAAGACTAGCACGTGCACTGAACTTCCTGCTGGAGAAAGTCCCTAAAGCTAAGCACTTCAATGTGAAGGCCACGACGATGCTGAAACAGAACTTGGAAGGGGCGGGAAAAAGACTGAGTATTTTCGGAGAAAGGACGACGGCCCTGATGGCTAGCTTTGACATCAAGGAGATGTTCACGTCGCTGCCACATGAGGCGATCCAGCAGGCAGTCGAGTGGCTGCTGAGACAATGGGAGTCGAGAGGGGTGAGCAAACTTAGCCTGAGCAGACGGGGTCGAGTGGTGGCCATTAGCAAGAAGAGCTCGGGACCAGGCTACGTGGAAGTCAAATTCTCTCAGATCAGACAGATGGTCAAGTATGAGCTGGAAAATGCATACCTTCAATGTAGGAAGACGATCCTGAGACAGGTGGTGGGGATCCCTATGGGGAAGAATTCCAGACCCGCGCTGGCATGTATACTGTGCGCGAAACACGAGGTCGACTTCATAGGTTCGCTGGGAGCAGATCGGAGGCTGGTGCACGGGGTCAGGCTGGTAGATGATGTCACACTGGGAGTTGTGTGCGACATGGGTGACATTCGGAGTGTATCGACAGCAAGGTACATCTGTCAGAAATTCGTAAGCACGTATGGGGAGCAGCTAGTAGTAGTAAGGACAGATGACGGGCCTAGCTCCTGGGACTTCTTGGGAGTCAGAGCTACAGTGATACCAGGACCCGTCAGGTTTATCATCCGCCCCAAGCATAAAAATCAGGGGGCCACAATTGAGGATCCCCTCCTTCAGATGCGTCCAGGATTTTTCCTCGTATTTAGATAAGCGAGTGAAGGCGGGCACGGTGATTGCCGCGCTTCACAGGATCAGGCAACATTCTAGCGACCCAGCATCGGGGGTCCGAGCGACACTTTCCATCAGCATAGAGCTGGGGTGTCAGGGGTATCCCCCGACGCTCTTCTCCAATTCTCTGGCGGTGTTTACCAAAGCCACCGGCACGTTCGGCGCAGCGTTGAAGACGCTAGCCGAACAAACGGTTAAGTTACTACAGGAGAGAGACCAGAAGGAGCAAATGACGGAGAGCGAGAAATGAAATGGGGAGACGGGAGAGAGGGAAGGGGGACTGCCCAGCACCGGGTTGGACAATACACGTGGGAGGGATAAGCAACGTAGTGAACGTAGTGGCAGGAGTAGATGTGCGCTGAAGAGGGGAGGGTTACAGGGCGAGGGTAAACCAACATGTATACTAGTTAGCAGAAGGAGGGGACAGGTTAGGGAGGGAAGTAGTAGGGCCTGGACAATACGGGTGTACACTAAGCAACAAGGGAGAATCCTGAACCCGGGTGAGGGGAACCTCGCTGACAAATAGAAACAATCAGGAGGGATCGGACTTAGGCAGTGGCAGTAGCAGTAGGTTGTTACAACTGGACAGACGGTGGGAGCGATATGCTGGGAATTGGGAGAAATAGGGAAGTGCCCGTACTGCAGGAAATCAGACGTAGGTAGGTACTAGATGGGAGACACGGTGGCCAACAGGGTCGAAACCGAGAAAGAAAAGGAAGGGTGGACCACTAGACTGGGGAGTACACAGTGTAGAATGCTGGCCTGGTACAGCGGGAGACTAAGGCAAAAAGCCTGAGTCGCATCGCAAGCCCCTACTTCCGACCGGTACACGTGATTTTCGAAAAATTCATGCGGGGAAGGTGCACACGTGATGAGGCGGGAAGACGGCGCGTGCGGACGTGCACACCAGGTCAGTTACAAGCGGGCCAGGTAAGCGCCCACCCGGTCAGTTGCAGACGTGGAGTCTGCGCAGGCTATATCTTAGGAAGGCAAGGTCGGAAAGGCCCTCTTTGCTCAAGGTGGAAAGCCACGGTGGATGTGGGAGAGTGGGAAGCCCCTTGATAAGTCATGGTGCGCAGCCAGACAAAATGTGTCGGGGAACGTGCGCGTTGAGCAGTTGTCTGTGTAGGTGCTTCAATGGTCTTCATTGAGACATGGACGCATAGCGATCGGCCTCGCTGTATTCAATTCAATTCTTCTTCCAAGTCGACGTTATTGTTTTTCCTTCTTCTTTTTTTTCTTTTCCCCTCCCGATTCTTTCTCCCCCCCCCCACCTACCCAATCCCATTTCCCGCCCTCCTGCGACCGATCCTTGCACGCTTCCCCCGAGCGATCCCCCCACCCTTCCCAACTCTTACTCCCCGATCCCCAAAGTATCTTCTTCCTCCCCACCTCGAGCACCAGTTCCCCCTTCGCGCACTTCTTCCTCCGCCCGCCACCATCTCCCATCCCTCCCGCATTCCCCCGCGTGATCTTCCCCCCCCGCCCCCGTCGCTCCTCTTCGTCCCCCTTGCTCCCTCGCTCCCGCCCATTCTCCCATTTCCCCTCGCTCCGCCTGCCCACCACCGACACACGCCACCCCTTCTTCTGTGCGACCTGTTTCCCCTCCCCTGCACGACCCCCAACCCCTCGCTTCCGTCCTGTATTTCATCATCTCCATTATCACAAAACCCC